CGGCAAGACCAGGCCGGAGGAGAGACCAGAGCAAGGCACCAGAAAGCTGAGCTCAGATACTTATTGACCATAAACTCTGAAGCACCCCAGACACCAGGCAAGGGAACCAGTGGACCGGAACAGGTCAGGACAGGAACACCACAAGACAAAACATAGCTCCACAGGAACACAAATTACTCCAAGACAGGCAAGAGAATAAACAAAGGACTAATAAAAAAAAAACTAAATTATTATTAAATTAACCAACACAAAACTAATATATTAACCAAAAAATGAAAACAAAAGATCAGGAGACAATATTGTGTCTTTTTTTATTTAAATCTAGCTTTATTCGCATTGGCCCATGGAAACCTCTATGAACACACTTGACTTGACTAAAAAACTCGCGGGGGACGAATTTACGTTTTATTAAAAAGTGTTTACGCATACACTCATGGCGCGCAGCCGCGCACACACATTAGGATAGGTTAGATTCCTGCCTCCGTTGCGAGTCCCTATCAAGCACTTTACCAATTCAACTACTCTGTTCTTCTCCTCCTGCCTTGCTCTTTGGCCCGCATCACTCACCGCAGAGCAAGCCTGTTCTTGATAAATCTCCTGTGAAAACGTGGGAAATGCCGACGAGGAAGAAGTTGGGTTGATGCGATCTTTATATAGGCGGAGCAAAATACTTCATCGCTCCGTCTATAGCGCATTGTGATTGGATGTTTATGCTGTCAATACAGGAGACAAACCAATGGGCCACTGGCTGCTCGCTGTTCCTGCGTGATGGTTTTCGGCAAAAAAACAAAAAAACAGTCTGTCGGCCCCTTAAGTGCGTCGGCCCACCGGGAAAATGCTCGGTATGCCCGATTACCAATCCAGCCCTGATAACAACACAACATCGCATAACATATAACAATGTAACACGTTTTTAACAACATGTAACACAATGCCACAGCCAGACATGGCAAAACATATAACGATATAACATGTAATGCTATAACATAACATGTAACCATATATAGCATGATATTTGATACACCACAGCATGCTATGACAAAAAGATATACCACAACATGATATATCAACACAACACTGAATAACATATAATGATATAACATGCAATGCTTTAACATGTAACCATATATCTCATGGTGTGATATACTATAGCAGGACATGCCATAACACATAACAATATACCACAACATGATATAAAAACACAACATTGCATAACATATAACAATAAAATAACATGTAACATTATAGCATAACATGTAACCAAATCTCACATGATGTGATATAGCACAGCATGATATGCCACATGTAACAATACACCACATGATATAACACAACACTACATAGCATAGTAGTAAATAGTAATAGTAAATCTATAACACAATTTGATGTTACATCATTACATGCAATGTTATGTTGTGGCATGGCATTACATGTTATGTTATGTTTTGTTGTGGCATGGCATTACATGTTGTTGTGTTGTATGTTATGTTATGTGCCTATTTTACTAATGACCTATATTCGAACTAGTGCTTTATACATAACTGTAAAAGGTCATTTAGCATGACCAAAACAGAGTAAACAAGGTGTTTGGATCAAAATGTCACATTTTAGCCCATGGTGAACCATGACCTACAAAAAGTTCTATAAGTTAATGACTCTAAGCATTCCTGACAAGTCCTCAGATGGTGCTGAGTATGACAAATATACCTGGGATGTGCTTTGCTGGACGCTGTGTCTGCTGGATAGGTGCTGTCAACCGAGAGAAAAAGAGAGAAAGATAAACACTGTAGTCATATTTCAGACTTATACCCAGCCAATATATAATGTACAAAGCATGCTGACAGCAGTTAGACATATCATCTTAGCTGAAAAAAATCTGTCCATTATAATGAATGTGCTTCAAATGGAAACATATATGTGCATACTACGCACAGTATCTTCAACATAAAACAATATCACACTAAAATAATTCTTAATTCAAGTATCAAAGGGAACAACATTTCCTGTTTGATCTGTAATTGAGTAAATAAGACACTTGCTTAAGGGATTGAATATTTTCCCACAACGCTGTATGGATGTACAGAGCAATATCTCATGAGATATCTACATCTAGATTAATCATATTCACAGAGGCATCGTCAGCACAAACCCCAAGCAGAAAACACTTGCTCATAATCACATGGTGCAATGCGCAAACACACACATACACGCGCGGGAGCTTGGGTGACTTATGAGTCTGTGTTTCTTAGCATGCATCTTTCGCTTCAGTGCTTTTGACTGCGTTTAGAATAAATTACCCAGCATACAACACAAACCCCGATCAGTGAATGCATGGTGGGAAAAGAGGTATGCAAAACTCGCAAGCACAAAAATACAAAATAGATAGTGCCTTCCAGTTGTTAGTACTTTGATTTCCAGTTTATGGGGTGTTCTGTGCGTAGTGACATCACTACAGGTTACTAAGGTGTTCTCAGTGGTAGTTAACACTTTGGTATTCAGTTGCTAGGGCATTCTGAGTGGTTGCTAGGGCATTGCTCGGGTGTTGGTGGTGGACTGATGTAGCTATGAGGTTGCCAAGCTGTTCTCAGTGATTCTTAGTACTTTGCTGTCCAGTTGCTTGGGTGTTCTGGGTGTAGTGACATCAAAGTGCGGTTCCTAAGGTGTTCTCAGTGGTTGTTAACACTTTGCCGTCCAGTTGCTAGGGTGTAGTGACATCCTTATGCGGTTGCCAAGGTGTTCTTAATGGTTTTTATCACTTTGCTGTTCAGTTGCTAGGGTGTTCTGGGTGTAGTGACATCACTACATGGTTGCTAAGGTATTCTAAGCAGTTGTTAGTACTTTGGTGCCATTCTGGGTGGTTGCAATGGCATTGCTTGGGTGTTGTGGGTGGAGTGATGTTGCTATGCAGTTGCCAACGTTTTTACAGTTGTTCTTAGCACTTTTCCGTCCAGTTTCTTGGGTGTAGTGACATCACTGTGCAGTTGCTAAGGTGTTCTCAGTGGTTGTTAACACTGTTGTCCAGTTGCTAGGGTGTTCTGGGTGTAGTGACATCACTGGGCAGTTGCTAAGGTGTTCTCAGTGGTTGTTAACACTGTTGTCCAGTTGCTAGGGTGTTCTGGGTGTAGTGACATCACTGGGCAGTTGCTAAGGTGTTCTCAGTGGTTGTTAACACTGTTGTCCAGTTGCTAGGGTGTTCTGGTTGTAGTGACATCACTGTGCAGTTGCTAATGTGTTCTCAGTGGTTGTTAACACTGTTGTCCAGTTGCTAGGGTGTTCTGGGTGTAGTGACATCACTAGGCGGTTGCCACTGTGTTCTCATTGGTTTTTAGCACCTACCTTCCAGTTACTAGGGTGTTCTAGGTTGCTAGGGCATTGCTCAGGTGTTCTGGGTGGAGTGATGTTACTATGCAGTTGCCAAGGTGTTCTCAATGGTTGTTAGCACTTTGCTGTTCAGTTGTTCAGTTGCTAGGGTGTTCTGGGTGGTTGCTAAGGCATTGCTAGAGTGTTCTTGGTGGAGTGATGTTGTTATGCGGTTGCTAAAGTGTTCTCAATACTTGTTAGCACTTTGCTCTACAGTCTCTCAGTTGCTAGGGTGTTCTAGGTGCAGTAACGTCACTATGCGGTGACTAAGGTGTTCTCAATGGTTGTTAGCACTCTGCTGTCCAGTTGCTAGTGTGTTCTGGGTGGTTGCTAGGGCATTGCTAGGGTGCTTTGGGTGGAATGACGTTGCAATGCAGTTGCTATGGTATTCTAGGTGGTTGTTAGCACTTTGCTCTACAGTTACTAGGGTGTTCTGCGTGGTTGCTATGGCATTGCTCAGGTGTTCAGGAGGATTGGCATCATTATGCTATGTGGTTGCTAAGGTGTTCTGAGTGGCTTTTAGTGATGCTTTACTGTTCAGTTACCAAGGTGGTTGCTAGGGCATTGCTAGGTGGTTGAGAAGGTGTCACTAGGTTGTATCTAGGGTGTTCTGGTTAGTTGCTAGGTGATTGCTTGGCTAATTTGGGCAATTATGGTGACATTTCTGCTGTGATTGCTAGGGTACTCTGGATGGTTACTAGGACATTTCAAGGTGTTAGTCATGTGGTCTGAGTGGTTGCTAGGGTATTGCTTGTGGTTGCTAGGGCATTCCAAGGTATTAGTCATGTCTTCTGAGTGGTTTCTAGTGGTGTTTGCTCATAGTGATACTTTCCTTAGTAAACATCACTAAAATTACCTTTACAAGAAGGACCAGGAAAAGGAATCATCAAAGCTGCATGCACATCTCAAGATGAAAAGTGAGATTTCCTTGATATAGTGCTTGACAATGAGGGAGTATTGCTTCATTTGCAAACCCAGTTGAGGATTTCAGGCCGAACTGAGAAACATCTGAAAACAAATATCTTTCCTTCTGTTCTCACTTTCACCGTCAGGGAGGCTAAACGCGTGCCTGGCGGGACTCATTAATCTAAAATAGAGCCTTGCGGCACTGTGAGCGTGGCAGATTGTACAGCCATGTTACAACATGCTTCTGTGAGACTTCAGTCCCTGACTAACTTATATCAATATATGTGCTGTTCTTTTGCGAAATAAAACTGTTACTCGTTTGGCAGACACTATTTATTCAAGGTTACATTACTGCAGGTAAAGGACACCTGGTGCAAGTGTCTTGCTCAAGGGCAACAATGCTGCTGACATATCAGTAAGTCAAAATGTAACCATAAATTTGTACATCACCATCCCAAAATATAAATAAATTAATACATACATACTTACATAAAGTGTTATTATTTTTAAAATAAAAGCATTGTAATAAATAAATAAACAAACAAACAAACAAACAAACAAACAAACAAACAGGGTTATTAATTTTTAAAATAAAAATACAGAAAAAAATGTATCGTTTGAATGATTGATTTAAAACAGATTCTCACAGGTACTCTTATGGCTACAGAGGATGAGGAGTGCCACTTAAAAATGAAATGAATGAATGAATGAATGAATGAATGGATGAATGAAAG